GGATTGTTGATTCTCTGTTTGGCTTAGTTTTTCGGATCTTTGTTGTGGAGGGACGGCGTGGTGCTTCTGCCTAGAGCACCATCTTGCCGGAGTCTCCTACATAGAGTAAATCTTAAAACAATATTGTATGGATTAAATTTAATATTTTTACATTCACCTTAAACATTTTTGTAGAAAGAAAATTGAATGAATATCAAGATCTACTTATACACTTGCATAGTTGCACATTTTTATTTCAATATAGTCTTCTCAGGCCATGAGCATTTTTTGTGAACTTTTAAAAATTTAATAATTTAATATGTATATTTTTCTTTTGAGATGATCCAGATCCCTATCAGTTTATGGATAATAACAGTAATAGTTCCCATGGAATCGACTTTGACTCATGGTGACCCCCTGTGTGTCAGAATAGAACTGTGCTCTGTAGGGTTTTCAGTGGCTGATTTTTCAGAAGTAGATCACCAGGCCTTTCTTTCAAGACACTTCTGGGTGGACTCAAACCTCCAAACTTTCAGTTAGCAGCCAAGTGTGTTAACCATTTGCACCACCCAGGGACTCCTTATGTATATAATAGGTACTGGATAAATGTCTGTAAGTATTGAATAGTTTGCTTAACCTTTGTGGTTGGGTTCAACTTTTTGCTGTTATGATGCATATTTTTGTGCCAATTGCTTTTTCTTATTTTTTCTCTTGGGTTAATTCCTTTGGTCATGTTCCCCAAAGTGGAATTACTGGATCAACGAGTATGAACTGTCTCATGAGTATGATTATGCATTTCATCCACATTGTGCCAGAATACTTGATGGCTATCTGGTTTACCATTTACAGTGCCCATCAGCAATATGTGAGTGCACCTGTTTCACCATAGTCCTGCCAGAACCATTTTATTAAAATTATTTATATTTATTTTGTATTGAATGACCGGGAAACTAGAGAGGTGGAGGCAGGACAGCAAGTTAGGACGCTGCTATAAAGGTCAAGGCCTAAATGATAAGGACCTGGATTAGGGTGGTAACCGAGGTAATTTAACAAATTCAAATTTATCATCAAACCTTTACTAAGCACCTACTATGTGCTAGGCACATATTAGTACTAATAAACTGAACATATTAGTATCTAATTTAATCCTCTCAATACCTCTGTAAGACGATATATTACTGATCTTCATTATATAGATAAGGAAACTGAGGCTTAACAAATTGATGTGACACACCCAAGCTCAAATAAATATGATGTTCGAGAGCTGGGGTTCAGACATAGACTTTCTGAAAGGACAGCTGCTGGAAGAACTACAAAAGAAAAATCCAGAGTTGTTGACCAAGAAGAAATGGGGGCCAAGGGAGGTGGTCCCGATAACTCCAATATTAGGTGCCTGCTTGTGAATATTGTTTCGTTTGGATAACCATCAGATTCCTGTTGTTGTTCTTTCTTCCAGGGGACTCTAACAGTTTTAGCAAAGTACGGCCTCTAGGAGAAAAGCCAACCATCCTCCGTCCCCCGGTGAGGCCTCCAGACCCTCCCTGTCGAGCAGCTACTCCCCAGAAGCCAGAACTAAAGCCAGATATTGTGGCTGGCAGTGCAGAGGAGATCCCATCATCCGTGTAAGTAGGGTTCTTCCTCAACCATGGCCTAGTGGTAAAAGGTCTGACTTAGGCTACCAGGAATGCTTTCAGGATCACCATATACCGTTGTGAAAGTTGTACAGTGCACAACCCTGGGGTCATCATTCACTTCATAGTCTGGGGGAATATCACAGGCCAGCCCTGTTTGGAATGTTCCACTCAACACCCAAGGCTGAGAGATGGCCTAAAACCAAAGACTTTAAACCTTAATACTTGTTGGAGGTATATTTTTCTTAGATACCCAGATGTGTGTAGGGTGATATGATTATCCTCTGATTTATACTCTCTTGGCTCTGGAAATTTTTTTCTTATTTTATTGTTTTTGCTACTGTTTTCAAAGTAATTTAATGAACAGATTTGTTCATTGTACTTGTGCCTTGAGGCTTTTATTTATTTATTTTTGGTAAGTATAATGGTATGATTTTCAAAACTCTTCCAAAATGACTCAAGTTCTCCAGAGAGCCTCCTGCAGGGTAAGAGCTGAGCTGACATCTAGCAGGCCTGAAGCTGGGTTTCAAGTCAAGGAATCAGAGAAGGAGTGGCTAGGATAGGGCAGCAGTTCTCAGGGATCAGCCCTGCTTGGCCACAACTAGCCTGACCACCGTCTCCTCAGCCAATGACTAAGACCCCTCACTGTATACTGACTCTTGGTTTTCCCTTTTCTTGTGTCTCTTATTTTTCCTAATTATAAAATGAGAGGAAAGAAGAAGAGCAAAGCCTCCACAGCTGCAACTAATTGACTAAGTGTATTTACAAAATACCAAAAATTATACTTTGAAATCAAAGATTTGCTTTACTTTTTCCCCAAGAAAGACCTGAATAGACAATATATTTAGACCATTCTGGACCAGAGGGGGCAGTGTCAGCCATGGCCTTGGAGGTACCTGTGGACTCTGGGCCATTTCTCATTTTGCTATTTGGGTTTCTCCTTAGACCCAGATCCTTTACTAGTAAAGACAGGGCCTGGCATCAGTAGCCCATCTGGTTCATAGGCTTTTGTTCCTTCCATTGGCCATTGGTTCTCACACCTATTCCAGAGCAACTCATGGGACTTGGTTTTCTTCTGTTTGTAGGGTGGCTTCCAGGACCAGGTTCTTTGAAACAGCCTCTCGGAAAACAGGAAGGTAAGAGACACAGGTGACAGAAGAGAAACCAAATCACTTTTTAAAAATGCATATTGAACATCCTATTTGTTCTCACCCTCATAGTCTCCTTTTCTTTCTTGGCTCAGTCTGTCTCTCTGTGTTTGTCTCTTTTTTTTCTTTGACTGTCTCTCCAACTCTTTCTGTGCCTCACCCTGTGTCTCTGTCTTTGTCTCTGTGCTGTGTGCCTCTCTTCCTTTCTGTCTCTGGGTCTCTCTGGCTCTCTGTCTTTGTCACTCTGACTATCTTTGTCACTCTTTCTCTCTACTTGTCTCTTTCAAACTCTGTTTCTCTCTCTGTCTTTATTTTTCTGACTCTGTCTGTCTCTCTGCCTCTGTCTCTGTCTTTGCATCTATCTCTCTCTGTTTCATTCTTTCTGTTTCATTCTTTCTGTGTTTCTGTTTTTCCCTCCTTGTGCCCCTCTGTCTTTGCTTTATCACTGTAAATGTTGTCTCTTTGCCTCTCTGACTCTGTTTCTCCATCTCTGTCTCTCTGCTCCTTTCTCTCTCTCATACACATAGCACACACATACAGTGGAGTATTGCAGAAACTTCATACCCATTGTAGGTCTTATTTTTTTGTTACTTTACTTATTTACTTCATTTATTTATTTGTTTCTTTACTTATATTCTAAAAGAGCTGCTGACAGAGATATGTAGAATACAACAATCTAATATAAACATCCTTAGAGTAGGCAAGGCTCCCATTTCAGAGGTAAACATTAGCCTTAGGCAGTGACTCAAACTGGCTGCACATCTAAATTACCTGCAAAACACTGAGGACAAAAACCACAGATTCCTAATTTCCTTTCTAGACCTACTAAAATTGAATCTCCAGGAGTGGGGCCTGGGAATCTGTTTTTTGTTTGTTTGCTTGACTGATTTTGTCTTGTCCTTCTTTCCTCCTTCCCTTCCTTCCTTCTTTCCTTCCATCCTTCCTTCCTTTTTTTGGTTAGTTTGTTTTAAATACTCCTCCAGTGCTGGTGTAGACTGCCCAAGTCCTGGTATTTGGTACTCTTTGGACTAGAACACCTGGAGAAATAGTTGCTTAGCTTTCAGGGATTCTTCTGTGAATTTGCTTCAAGTTGCTTATCAGAAAGTTTGAAATTGTGCTTTCTAGCAGGTGACAGCAATGTAAGTAAATCTTCCAGGTGGCCAGTTAAAAGCAGAACAATGTGCCTTTACCCACAGTGGAGCTAGGGTAGGTTTGACCTCTTTTACTCAAAATTGTGGGACCTAACTCACTAGGACATGATTCTACACAGCAGGCCACCCTAGCTCTTCTTTGCAGTGAGCCACAGGAAACCCTAGGCTAGGCCAAATTATCTATAGACAGTCATTTGTAATTTATAATTTGTAATTTGTCATTTTTTCTACCATAACAGATGAAAGTGATGTCAAAGTCCCAAATTTCTCTTTCTGACAGCATAAAGATAAAAATTTTTACCTAGGAAGTTTTTAAAGCAGGTTGAATCAAATATCTACCTTGAATAAAAAGAAAGAGAAAAGAGAGAGAGAGAAACCATAATACTCTTAATAAGGTACTCATCTATAGCAGTACCTCTTCCCGGTGGTCCTTCCTTACCAACCCCCCTCCCTCAGGATAAGCCCTTTGAGAAATAAATACCAAGGAAATGGAATGAAGTAAATTGGAATAAACAGAATGAACTGGGGATGGCTAAAGGAAAGCTTTTTAGACAAGGTGATGTCTGAGCTGGAGCTTTAAAGGTGAGTAGAAATACACAGAGAAATGTGGGGGATTGATCTGTAGCCATTGACAGGGAAACTGAGGCATTGAGAAGGGTAATATGTAAGAGCATGAACAAAGTTCAGTGGACTCTCTTTTTAATTTTTTTATTGTACTTTAGATGCAGGTTTACAGAACAAATAGTTTCTCATTAAACACTTAGTACACATATTGTTTTATGACATTGGTTAACAACCCCACGACATGTCAACACTCTCCCTTCTCGACCTTGGGTTCCCTATTACCAGCTTTCCTGTCCCCTCCTGCCTTCTAGTCCTTGTCCCTAGGCTATTGTGCCCCATTTGTCTCATTTTGTTTTATGGGGCTATCTAATCTTTGGCTGAAGGGTGAACCTCAGGAGTGACTTCATTACTGAGCTAAAAGGGTGTCCAGGGGCCATACTCTCAGGGTTTCCCAGTCTCTGTCAGGCCAGTAAGTCTGGTCTTTTTTTGTGAGTTAAAATTATGTTCTACATTTTTCTCCAGCTCCGTCCCGGATCCTCTGTTATGATCCCTGTCAGAGCAGTCAGTGGTGGTAGCCGGGCACCATCTAGTTGTACTAGACTTAGTTTGGTGGAGGCCGTGGTTCAATGGACTCTTTAAGGCAAGTAGACTTCCAGTAGGGAAACTATAGCCAAACTGGTGTTGAGAACAAGGAATGAATAGTAACCACTGTCTCGGCTTTGTCAGCCAGTGCTCAATGACGCCTCAGCCCAACCACCTCCTAAGGGGGTTGTCGCCAAAGCAGGCACTTCAGGCTGGATCACCACTCTACCCACCCTATGTCTAGGCCTCTGGAACCTAATTTCTTTGTTTATTTGTTTATTGCTATTGTTCATAATATACATAGCAAACCATACACCAATTCAATGGTTTCTTCATGTACAACTCAGTGACATTGATTACTTTCTTCAAGTTTGTGACCATCCTCACCTCCTTTTCTGAGTTGTTCCTCCCCCATTAACATAAGCCCATTGCCCCCTAAGGTTCTTATCTAATCTTTGTAGTTGCTGTTGTCAATTTGATAACATATAGATAGTTCTTAAAAGAACATAATGCTCAAGGCAGACATTTTTACTAGTTAAGCTAAACTATTGTTTGGTTTTAAGAAGACTTCAGGGGATATTTTTTGTTTAAGGTTTAAAGATTATCTCAGGGCAGTAGTTTCAGGAGTTCATCCATCCTCCATGGCTCCAGAAAGTCTGAAATCCATGAGAATTTGAAATTCTGTTCTGCATTTTCCCCCTTTTGATCAGGATTCTTCTATAGAATCTTGATGAAAATGTTCAGTAATGGTAACTGGGCACTATCCTTTTCTTGTGGTCTCATGGCAAAGGAGGCAGTTGTTCATGGAGGCAATTAGCCACACATTCCATTTCCTCCTCCTATTCCTGATTCTCCTTCTTCCTCTGTTGCTCCAGGCAAATAGAGACCAATTGTGCCTTGGATGGCCGCTTGCAAGCTTTTAAGGCACCAGGCATGACGCAGTGAACTATAAGGTAGAAGAGAAGCACTAAACACGTTATTAGGCTAATTAACTGAGATGTCCCATGAAACCATGTCCCTAAACCTCCACACTGAGGAACCAAATCCAATGAGGTGTTCCTTATCCTCAGATTCTCTCTTGACAGAAGTCTAGGTAAGACTAAGTTAGGTACAGCTGCCCTCCAGTATGTCACGAGCCACCATCCTAGGTATCCACAGGTTTCTCCTACTCAGAAGGAAAGCACCTCTTCTGTCTAAGCCCCCACCCTGTAACTTACCCCTTGTATTAGTATATCCACATGGTAGCCACTGGTCAAGATTCTCCAATAACACGGTTAACCCCACCTATGGACATTATTGCCAAGATCTTCTCTTGTTTCTAATGAAAATGATGATCTGTTAGACCTTTCCCCTGCCCCTTTTTGCTTCCCATTTGCACACCTGGTTGTTGCCTGATATTTGAATGATATCACTCCCTCACTTATCTCCCTTCCACCAATTTAAAAAAATATATAAATAATTCAAAAGAAAATGAGTAGTGGTTCTTCAAGAGGGCAAGAGAGGGGAGGACATTTTAGGGAGACAGAACAGTTTATGCAAGACAGGTTGAAGTAATGATTATTGTTCCACTTTGGCTAAAACATGAGGTTGAGTAGAGGGAATTGTAGCTGGAGATGAAGCCAGGAAGATGTATTGGGGCCAGATCATGAAGACCTTGTATGACACACTAAGGCATACAATCTTAGTGCTATAGGCCGTGGAAATCAATGCATATTCAGAGTTGACTGAGTTGTAAAAAGATCACTTTGGTAGTAATGGGGAAGTTAGCTTTGAGAGTAAAGACTGGAGGCAGTGAGACCTTTAGGAGACTAATCTTCCTGGCAAGAGTTGATGAGGCCCTGATCTATGGAATTGTCAGTGGGAATGGAATGGAAGGGACAGATTTGAGGCAGACTCAATAAGACTTTGCTAGCTTTTCAAACATAGGGGATTGGAGAAGGATTGAGAGAGAGGAGTCTAACTTGGACAATTAAGTAGGTGGTTGAATCATTAATCATGGATTAGCAGGTTTTGTAGGAAAGTTGGTATGTTCAATTTTAGACACAGTGATTTTGAAGACACTGTGGCACATCCAGGTGGCTGTCCCTGGATTTAGATCCAATGGGTAACTACAACTTAGATTAGTGGTTGGAGCTGGACCTATATAGATTTAGGGGAAGAACTGTTGAGTACAGCCACTGTACAATTCCAGAAGGGCCCATTCACGTATACTACAATGTAAATGGTAGCCATTTGGGAGGTCTTCATTATTTGGTGGTGATTGAAACCATATATGGGACTAAGATAACTCAGGGAATAGGTGTAAACAAACTCAAGAGAGAAAAGAAAAACAGAAGGCTTAGGACATATCTCTGAGGACCAGCTGTTATGTGGGATGCTCTGCCCACCCCCCCCCCCACCAGCTGTCCCAAGACAAGGCTAATTTAGGACTGATCTAAGCATGTCAAGAGGCTGGACAAGGCTGATTCGGTTTTCAAGGACAAAGGAGGATTCATCTTTCACATGGCACTTGCCCTGCCTCCTCGCCCTTCTTCCTATTAGAGATAATTAGAGGCCTCTCTGGGCTCCCGTAGGCTCCCATCGTCTGGCACTCAAAGAATTGTTCTGGCACCTTAAAGATGTCTTCCTATTTGAGCAGCTGCTTTCTCTGAAACTTGCCAGAGAATAAGCCCAGCCTGTAAGCATGGAGCTAGATGCTTTGAAACATCTGAACAGAAGCACTTCCCTATTTTGCAAATGTCTTCCTTTCTGGCCTGGAAGGGTCACCATCCCTTGCTTTGCTTTTCCAGTCCTAATTTCTAGATTGTTAGTGAAATGTCTTTCCTCCTTTACCCACAGTTCGTCTCAAGGCAGACTTCCTGGAGATGAGAGTTGAGGCCACAGGTATGTAGTCTCCCCTTCTGATTAAAGAACCTTGTTCCACAGAAGTTTTCTTTATGGGATCTGAGTTTTTGAGGACTGGAATACCATGTAGGTTCAGAGGGTGGGAACTCACTTACCTCCATGCCTCATTTCCTTGTAATTATGTGACCCTTAAATTTAATGCCTTCCAATTCTGGGTTTCTGCATGTTTTTAAGTCTCTTTCCTCTTTCCTTTTCCTCCTCTCATAGCCAAACTAAAGTGTAGTTTCACAAATTGTCTTTGAACCCAATTCATTAGAAATCCTAGGCTGTGACATTTTGGGCAAGTTCTGAGAGAAAGACTCTGAGCCTCAATTTCCCAATCTGTAAAATGAGAAGGTTGAAACCTTCCAATTCTGACATCCTTTGAGTCTGTAAGGAGACCAGTAACCTCCCTTTTAGTGTTATAACAGATGTCAAGAGTCCACCTTAGTATCTGTAGAGGGACTTCATTTCCTCAGATCAAGTCACCATTTCAGTTTTACCCACCTGAACCTTCATCCCTACTCCTTTATATTTGTCTAATGCAAAGCACATCCTGTATCTTATTTGATCTATATCACATGCCAGAAGTAAGGAGAATAATATATATTTCAGCTCAATTAATAAAGGAACTGGGGTTCAGAGGCAATAAGTGACTTGCTAAGGTGACAGGAGCCATGGAGGTCACAGAAATTCCTTTTTCTAGCTAGGAATTCTGATTGCTTGACTATCAGTTTACTGGCATGACATGAACAGATATACAGACAAATGAGATCCAGATATCTGGATCTTGGCTTTCCATGTTCTTCTTAGCCTTCCTTTTCTTCCTGTCACTACCAGTCCTCAGAGGTCCATGGGTAGATAATCTTCTTATCAGCTGAGAAGGAAAAGCTTATCTACCCCCAAGGAGGTGAAGTCCCAGTAAAAGAAAGGAGTTATTATAGAGCTGTAAAGGCAGTGGCCATGCTGAAGGGGAGTAATCTCAGAGGTTCTAGTATCATGTTTCTGCTTCCCAAGGTAGACTTTTTTGGGGATTAGAGTTAAGGCCAAAGGCATAAAGTCTCCATCTTGTTTCATGGGGTCTGAGTTATTAGGGCCATTTCCTAGCCAACCTCTGTGTTTCAAAGATTAGCTGCCAATTGTAGGATTAGTTATCAAGATGTACCTCACTGTTCAGTAGCTGGTAAGTGCTTGACCAAAACCAAAAAACCCAAACCCATTGCCATCCAGTAGATTCTGACTCATAATGACCCTGTAGGACAGAGTAGAATTGCCCCATAGGGTTTCCAAGGCTGTAAATCTTTATGGAAGCAGACAGCCACATCTTTCTCCCATGGAGGGGCTGGTGGATTCAAGCCACTGATCTTTTGGATGACAGCCAAGCACTTTAACCACTGTGCCACCAGGGCTCCTAGTGCTTGACCAGTCCTAGCTAATTCCCTACTCTCTTCTTTTCCTTTCAGGTTTTAAAAACCTTGGCCTTCGGAGACCCTTTCCAGCTTCTGAAATTCTTCAAACACTTGCGTGCTGAGTAATTTTGTGCTGAAGAGCAGCTCTTTACTGGCCTTGCACCTTCAAGTTCTGGAAGGCTATAAAATAAGGGGCACATGTCCTGGACACATGTTTATTTCTCTGTATTCTGTCTTCATCCCCTCCGAAGGTCTGTCTTAAATCCTGTGAGGAGAGATCTTACTTATTCTCCTGTAAGACTGTGAATGACCGGACTCCCTCAAGCCAGACTCTGCAGAAACCAAGATATTCAGTGACTGAATTGAGAGGGAAGCCCAATTTTCAGCTCTTCTCTAAGCTTCCTGTCTCCTCAAAGGCCACTGAACTCTGATAAAGATTTGGCACTAAAAACTGATCTTAGGGGTTTTATCCTGAGTTAAAGGCCCTGGTGGTGCAGAGGTTAAGAGCTTGGCTGCTAACCAAGAGGTCAGCAGTTTGAATCCACCAGCTGCTCCTTAGAAACCCTGTGGGACAGTTCTATTCTGTCCTGTAGAGTCAGGATCTACTCAATGGCAACGGGCTTGTCTTGGTTTTGACTTGGAGCCATTGCTTACCTTGAGGGTAGAGGAGCAGGAGCATTTGCTGAACATTGGAAAATCTTAACAAATCTCTTACTAAGGATATGGACGCTAGTGCCAGGTTGAAGCTCAGGCACTGCAGTGTGTCTTCAAGAGCCTGTTTACTCCTTTGTGAAGCCCCCACAACTCCTTCATGTGGACATAGGAAGGTGGCCTTCCTGCTCTTGCATTCAGCCACTTAGGACAAATCTGCAAAGCATATATGACATGTCAAAACCTATGTCTATTTGAATTATTCTCCTTCCTGTTTTCTCCTGACAGCTTTCTTTCCAAGTAATCAAGAAAGAAACAAAAGCTGAAAACATTTATTTTAAAAAAGCAGACTGTGAGGCAGGGCCAAGATGGCAGAGTAGTCAGATGCTTCCTATGGTCCCTCTTACAACAAAGACTTGAAAAGACAAGTGAATCGATTATATATGACAATCTAGGAGCCCTAAACATCAAAGGCAAAGTTGAGGGAACGAACTGAGTGGCGGGGGAGGGAGAGATGTTTCAGAAGCAGTGAGGAGTTACCAGACCTGATCTGGTGGGAACTGGTACCCTGCAGCTGGCACACACAGACAGGCAGTGGCACTCAGGACGCATTTTCCACACTGGGAGAGACTGAGTGGCGGAGAGTTTACTCAAGACTCCAGAACCAGTGAAGAGCGGTGCTCAATCAGCAAAAGATAAGTACATGGGTCTAACCACCTTTGGGAAAGACCTCTCTCCCATTTACCTGCCCCCCTCCCTGCTCTGCACTGGGTCCTGGGTCAGCTTCAACCATTGCCACATCCCCAGGGCTGGAAGTAAGGACCCGTCACACACCCTGAGCCATTCTCCTGACCTTGGAGAGGGAACAAATTAACGAACAGGAATAAATAATCTGCCAGCTCCCCTAAGCCACGAACTTAGGGTAGGTGCAGCTCCTTTGCCTAGGCACAGGCATAAGGGATCCACAGACTTTGAATGTCTTTCACCCCTGCATAGACTTGTGTGGGCCCATTTCAACAGCATAGGCCTTCATTAGCACAGTACAACACGGTATATACCTGAAGCCTAACTTCAACTGTCAGCTATATGGTGGAGTGGCAGGTTCATGACATTTGACACCACTCTGCCCATTAATCAGGGTCCTCACCTACCCACATCAGGGGCCTAAGGACTGGTGACCACCCACGCCACCTAGCCACCCACGACAGAGGTCCAAGAATAAGTGTTGCCTCCCAGTCCTTACAGCCAACAGCATTGGGTGCCCCTAGTCTGGCTGCAAAACCCACCCACCTACGCTCTGTAGGGAACAGGAACATGCTTTCCTCCCAGACACTCAGGGGCAGCTGTTAGCCCCCTGCCTTGCTCAGTGCATGACCCCCTACAGCACCCAGATACCTGTGCCTACACCAATTACCCCTGCCAATCTAAGACTGTAGGTGAGAGCCTGCACCACACACTTGGTGACCAACTACCTGCACATGAGCTGAATCCATACAAGAAAAGTAAACGGACTCCTGGGCTCACATACCTGGTAACAGATCTAACTACCTGGTGACAGGACGTTAGAGCTTCAAAGGCGCCAATAATCAAACTAGCTCACACGAGCAGCCTATTTGGACATATCAAAACAAAACAAAACAAGAAGCTAGGAAACAGTAAGCAAATATAAAATAAATACAATAAATTATTGATGTCTCAGAGACAACAGTCAATATCAAATCACATAAAGAGGCAGACCATGATGGCTTCAGCAAACTCCCAAAACAAAGAATCAATAAATTTTCAGGAGGAAGAGAACTTCTTGGAATTACCAGAAATAGAATACAAAAGATTAATATACAGAACACTTCAAGAAATCAGGAAGGAGATCAGTAAAAATGCAGAACACGCAATAGAGGAACTTAAGAAGGTTAGAGAAGAGCATAATGACAAATTTAACAGGCTACAAGAATCCATAGAGAGACAGCAAACAGAAGTCCAGATGGTTAACAATAAAATTTCTGAATTAGACAACAGAAAGTCTTAGGAACAGAATTGAGGCAGTGGAAGTCAGATTAGTGAGACTAAAAGCACTTGACATGAACTTATTTGAGGAAAAATCAGACAAAAGAATTCTAAAAAATGAAGAAACCCTAAAAATTATGTGGGACTCTTATCAAGAGGAATAAACTACAAGTGACTGGAGTACCAGAACAAGGGGGGATAACAAAATACAGAGAAAATTGTTGAAGATTTGTTGGCAGAAAACTTCCCTGATATCCTGAAAGATGAGAAGGTATCTATCCAAGATGCTCATTGAACCCCACATAAGGTAGATCCCAAAAAAAAGTCACCACAACATATTATAATCAAACTTTCCAAAACCAAAGATAAAGAGAGAATTTTAAGAGTGGCCAGGGATAAACGAAAAGTCATCTACAAAGGAGAGTCAATAAGAATAAGCTCGGACTACTCAGCAGAGACTATGCAGGCAAGAAGGGAATGGGATGACATCTATAAAGCCTTGAAGGAAAAAAATTGCCAGTCATGAATTATATATCCAGCAAAACTGTCTCTCAAATATGATGGCGAAATTAGGGTATTTCCAGATAAACAGAAGTTTAGGGAATTTGCAAAAACCAAACCAAAATTTCAAGAAATACTAAAGGGAGTCCTCCAGTTAGAAAATGAGCAACATCAGATAACAACCCAAGAATAGAACCCAGGACAGAGCAACCAGATATCAACCCAGATAGGGAAGTCACAAAAATAAATCAAAGCTAAAACACTGAAAACAGGGAAACAGAGAAGTCAATATGTAAAAGATGACAACATTAAAACAAAAAAAGAGGGACTTAAAAATGTAGACATAGATTTTTCTTATGGAGAGAAAGTGAAGGCGATATAAAGAAATAAAAGACTGGTATAAACTTAGAAAAATAGGGGTAAATATTAACATAACCACAAAGGAAACTAACATTCCTACAAGCCAAAGTCAAAAACTAGAAAAATATAAAGACTTAGCAAATACAAAATCAACAACAATG